AGAAAAAATTGTGCATTTTTTATATATCCTTTTATTTTTTAATAATATATGTGAGATTATTTCATCGGAAAATAGTAGGATATTTTCCGGTAAATTTTAATTAGTAACGAAATAGCCCGCAAGAGGCGCAAAAGGGTATGTAGGTAAGGGGTGTCCATTTGAATTTCCCGCGAAAGGATGATTAGTAATGACCCCAGCCGCAAGGGGTCCTAATGAACGAAATTTATACATTGAGTTGCCTATCTATTTCTAATATTATATTATTTATCTATCTTATTTATCGACATAAAAAACCAATAGATATTTGTTTTGTTTTTAGTTGCTGCTAAAACAATGGAACGACCAGTTACAAGACAGATCCAAGGAAGAAAAAGCAGGCACTAAGGGAAAACTGCAAGGTGCTACCTACGCTCAAACACAAGAATACCTAAGGCCGCTTTTAAGAAAGCTGAAAAATTTTTCTCTGCCGGAAGATATTTCCGATAGCCTTACTGAAATCGTTGTTCATTTATTAGAAAGGAATTATTTAAAGGTAGGTACAATCGAGAGAGAATTTTACTAGGTGATTAACTTTTGTCATAAAGTCAGTTAGATTTGTTATTATAGGCGATACGTAGGTGTGTAGCGATAGGTAGATGTAAGCTTAACATTTTAAAAAGACACAAAGATTTTTTTTAAAACACCTTATTTAGCGATTTGTTTTAAATTTAAAATCCACTTCACTTCCTCATTACAAGAATCCAAATTGTATTATATACGGTATTTAAAACGTTAATAATAATAAAAAAATTGCTTATGAAGTATTAGGAACAGAGAACAACGACAAAAAACACCACGAACCACCATGGATGACAGAAAACGTAAAAGAAATGATACAAGAAAAGAACAAATTATATAAAAAATGGCTAACAAATAAAACATCTAGCAATAGAGTATCATATCAAATGAAAAACGGAGAAGTACGCCAGCAAATAAAAGAAGCAAAAAACAATTTCTGGGAACAAAAATGTGTCCAAGTTGAAAATTTAATGGGTGGTTCTCAGACAACGGAAGCATGGAGAACTATCACTAATCTAAAGAAGAACACCCATAACTCATTAAGCAACTTAATTTCTATAGAAAAATGGGAAAATCACTATAAAAATTTACTCCAAGAGTCCAGATTGGAATATATGGGAGAAGAATACAGTATGGAGAGACAAACAAATAGCAACATTAATACTACCAGCAACAAGGTCCGTACTGCGCTAATTAAAATGAAAAACGGGCGATCATCAGGACCTGGCAATATACCTGTAGAGTTACTTAAAGCAGGAGGTCCACTCCTAATCGAACGAATAACTTTTCTAATGAATCAATGCTGCCAACAAATTAAAATACCATCTGAATGGAAAACCGCTCACCAAGTGTCCATCTTTAAAAAGGGTAATCGAAAAGATCCTAACTGCTACAGAGGATTGAGTGTCCTACCTACTTTCGGCAGATTGTTTGGAAAGATAATAAATAGAAAAATACAAGATGATGTAGGACATCTAATTAGCGAAGACCAAAGCGGATTTACGCCTGGTAGATCTTGCACTGATAACTTGTTTATACTCCAACAATTAATAGAAAAAAGAATAGCGGTTGGTAACGAAGTACATCTAGCCTTCATCGATCTAGAAAAAGCGTATGATACAGTACCAAGGCCTAAATTGTGGCAAGCTTTACAACAACTCGGCATTAGTCCACACCTTTTAGGAATAATCACAGAAGTATACAGGGATAACACCACTTACCTAAAAATCGGAAATAGACTATCAGAGCCGATAAAAGTAACTAAAGGACTGAGACAAGGATGCAGTATGTCACCTTTACTGTTTAATTTATATATTGAGGCAGCCCTTCAAAATTGGAAAAACCACTGTCAGGGAATGGGAATCCCAATAGGAAATGACGTACTGTTCTCCCTGAACTTTGCGGATGACCAAGTCGTTCTAGCTCAAGATTCTTATGATCTAGAATTTATGATAAAGCGTCTATACAGAGAATATGTAAAATGGGGGTTAAAAGTCAGCATGAAGAAAACGGAATATCTAGTTATCAATTCAGATGCAAGGTTTGAAGTGTTGATAGACGAGGACGTGGAAATCACACAAGTGGAAAAATTTAAATATTTAGGTGCATTCATTGATAAGAACGGCTTGGGTGAAACCGAAATTAAACACCGAATTAATCAGGGACGTAAAATTGTAGGATGTTTGAACTCCTTATGGTGGGATCGCAACATTTCCAAAAGGAACAAAAAAAGAATAGGACAAACGATGGTTGAATCAGTTCTTTGTTATGGCTCTGAAGTATGGACAATTAATGCAGACCTGAAAAGAAGATTGTTGGCAGTTGAAATGGATTATTTGAGAAGTGCTAGAACATCAAGGCTGGAAAGGAAAACCAACGAATCTATAAGAAATCAGATGAATGCTACAGATACGGTCATAGACAGAATAGAAAGAAGAGGTTTAAAATGGTTTGGACACTTGTTAAGAATGCCTGACGAACGTTGGCCCCAAAAACTTCACAGATGGAAGCCCCCTGGTAGAAGAAAAAGAGGTAGACCTCGACGCTCATGGAATGAAGGTATTAGAAGAGCAATGGAATCGAGAGGTTTGGAAGAGGAGCATGCCTTGGACCGAGAGGATTGGCGGAGGAGGACGGGAATACGGCGATAGCCGTCTCCAAGATGTATTCTATTTACAAATTGGATCCTGTAATATATATAAAACGTTATCACCAAATTTCAAAGAAAATCGTAACAACTTCAACGCCCCGTATAATTGAAATGCAGTACAAAAGCAACGACCAATTGTAGAGATACTTTTTAGATTGTTAACATTTACAATAAGACTAAAAAAATCCAGAAAAGATTTAGAAAAAACTTGTTATTTCACCGCACTATGCTCTGTTTCTCCAGATTTACTAGAGGTCCAAAAGGCCTGCTCGTTTTAATCTTCTTACGTGTGAAATGTTGAGCAGATCCTTGGCCAGCGAATTTTAATGGCAGGATAGTCTGGTCTTGTATGCAGAGTTTACAGCAGATATTGCTTCGCTAACTGTTGGTAACTCTAGATCGTAGTGTAATCTGTGGTTCGTAATATACCAAGGAACATTGCAGATCTGGCTCAGCACTTTCGATTGGAATCGTTGAAGTTTTTGTGTTGCTGTACCCCCGATTTGTACTGCATATAGCCATATCGGTTTTAAAATACCGAAGTTTGTTCTCCAAGCTAACATTTGATTTTCGACTCATGTATCAATACATTTTCCTGTAGATTAAGCTGAGTTGAAAGCGTTTCTTCCAGATGTGGATGCCCCAATTAAGTTTACTATCCAAATGAATTCCCAAGTGTTTAACGACGGTATTTATTGGTAGTGGAGTGTTTATAGAGTGTTTATAGAAACTAACGGCGCCTCACCTTTTATTATATATATATATATATATATATATATATATATATATATATATATATATATATATATATAGGTTCTTGAACTCCTAAGTGGAGCATAGAGCTTCAGTGAAAACGCGCCATCGGGTTCTATTTTGCGCTAAGGCCTTCACCTCATTCCAAGACTTTCCTTGTTTTCTTATCTCGTCCATGATGGATCTTCTCCAAGTTTGTACTGGGCGACCTTTTTTTCGTTTTCCTTGGGGATTCCACTCTAGGGCAGTCTTTGCAATACTGGAGTTATTTTTTCGGAGTGTGTGACCGATCCAACCCCACTTTCTGGACTTTATTTCATTTACTACCCTCTTTTGTTTGGTCAGGTGTAGTAAGTCTTCGTTTCTGATGATGTTAGGCCAGAAAATACGAACAATTCTTCGTAGACATTTATTAACAAAGACCTGCAGTTTGTCTGTAAGGGTTTTTGTCGCTTTCCAGGTTTCACATCCGTAAAGTAGTACAGACATGACATTTGACTGGAATATGCGGATCTTTGTCCTCGTAGTGTATTCTCCCGACCTCCAAACAGGGTTGAGCATGCTGAAAGCTTGTTGCGCTTTTCGTATCCTCATACGAATATCGTCTTCTGTACCTCCGCTTTCTGTTATGAACCTTTATGTTTCTCACCTTTTATTAAGTAAACGTTATTTGTCATTTGTGTTGATTTTAAACTCTTGACTTGGACTCGTCACAGTTTAAGCCAGCTCTCTAGTTTAAGTAGGGGATTTTGCAATACCTGATATGCTTCAGTTGCTATATAATTTGAAGCCATGGTAACTGTTCATCGGCATATGTAGCGATTGTTGTATTGGTCGTAAATGGGAGATCTGATGTGTATATTAAGTAGAGGTTGGATCCTAGTATGCTTCTTTGCGAAACTCCGCAACATATTGGAAACAGGTTGGTGATTCCTCCACCTCCTTTGACTTCGATCGGTTAATCGATCTGTTAGGTAGGACCTTAAAAGTGAACTTATGGGATGAGGAAATATGGATTTTAATTTTGGAGATAAGACCTACATGCCAAATGTTTTCCTATGGATGCCATGTTGTTTCTTAAACCCAAACTTATAATTCAGTAAAACATTACTGTATTATAAAATAAACTCGAGTCTTCTTAGAAAAATAATTGATATAAGGTTGAATGCTCGAATAAAAAAAACTTTGAAAAATTAAGGCAAATGTCGAGCACAAATTTAATAATCAAATCTTGCCCAAGTACTTTTGCTTTCTACAGCATCATCAGGGGCATTTCGTCAAATTTGGGCTATCCAGCAAGCGCAGAATGTAATAGACATGAAATTGAACATAAATTGTATATAACACTACACTAAAACAGTTTAAAATTATTTAAAAATTATTCTATGCTATACATTCTTGTCGGTAACAAGAGAGAGAATGAATTCTCTCTCCTAGTAATCGGAGCTCCTTCTCGATAAAAAAAAAAATATCGGTTTCACTTTCTTTAAGGCTCCTATATTTATTGTATCTTTATGTAACTATTTTTTTTGTGTTTCAGGCTAGTGCTGCATTTCTCCAAATGGCGATCGGTAACGCTCCTTGGCCCATTGGAGTTACCATGGTAGGTATCCACGCTCGTACCGGTAGAGAGAAGATCTTTTCTAAGAACGTGGCCCACGTGATGAACGACGAAACGCAGCGAAAGTACATACAAGGTTTGAAGAGATTGATGACCAAATGTCAAGAGTTCTATCCCACCGATCCGTCTAGATGTGTTGAATACCAAGCTTTTGGAAAACCTGAGGCGTCGACTAGCGAATAAAAGTGACAGATTCATGCATAGTGTTAAATATGGTATGATGAAGTGTAGAACTTTAAGCATCAAACAGATTTTTTTTTAATATATTTCAGATTTAGTATATTTCTTCACCATGTTCAATTTAAGTTTACTATACTTAAGAAAACCTTGTATATAAATGTAAATAAAGCTTTAAATGTGTTATAATTATTTATTTATTTAGCGTATGGCTACATCACAAGTTCATATATATACATATAATATAAATTATATAAATTACAAACAACAGTAAATACAAAAATATTATTCTACAAACAAACATCTAGATTATAAATATATTCGATTGACTCTTTTGTAGCAGCCAGGAAATCTGAAGGGTTGCCGTTCTAGGATCTAATCGGGCATTCCTGTACCATGTGTTTTACTGTTTGCCTTTCGGCGCCGCAGTCGCAATTTGGTGATTGTATTTTTCCCCATCTAAAAAGTGAGTCGGAACATCTGCCACAGTTCGCCACAGTATTGAGTGTGGTCCAAATTCGTCTCGGTTGGTTGAAGCCCTCAGGTTTGCTTGTAATACATGGCATGTTCCAGTTAGCTGGTACAGCGTTATTCTCCCATTGTTCTCTCCACCGTTCAGTCACATTAACGTTTTGATCTGAATGTGTTATATTTTTTATAAACTATAAAATTTTGTATAAAATTGCTGTTGATTTAATTCGGTACAATAGCCATCCTGCATGTACAATAGCCATTCACATTAGTGATGCACTAATATGGATTTGAACAAGAAGATTGAAAATAGAGACTGTGACATCGATATTATGTATCACTCTAATCTTCTTCTTCTTTTGGTGCCTATTCGTTTATAATAATGGCGATCATTCTGACTAATTATTTTATTAACTGATGCTTTAAATGGATCAGTTGTTGTTGTGGAGAACCATTTCCTCAGGTTTTTTAACCATGATCCCAATTCCTCGCTTTCCTAATACTTTGCCTTGAAGGATTATCTTTTCTTGGACTTTCTCCTTTTAATCGTATACATCACTTCTCTTTCTTTTCCAATTCTTCGTAGTACAGTCTCGTTGGTTATCTTGTCTGTTCATATCCTTAGGATTATTCTGTATAGCCACATCTCGAAGGCTTCAAGTTTTTTGCTCCATCGCTTCACTGAGTGTCCAGGATTCAACTCCGTAGTATAATGTCGACACGATATAACATGGTAGGAGCCTTACTTTTAGCTCCAGATTAAGGTTGTGGCTTTTAAAGAATTTGGCCATGCCATGGCCATGTTTGACCATGAACTCTTACACTCGTATTCATAGTCGGTCTCCAGCGCGTCGCTGGCTGTTCATCACCATATCTGTGTTTTATAGTCGACCTACAGCCTGGTTGACGCAAGCGTAAAGCATCTTTCTCCGAACAGTCGCTGGCATTTCGCTGGATACGCGCCAGTCGCTTTCACAGTGATCTCACATTCGAATGACGCATGCCCTGTTTAGATATTTTCGAAGTTTCGCCAGAGAAGGTTTATGCATGCTCTGGCGATTCGCCCGTCAATTTGAAATACGCTTGCAATGGACGATTTACATCAATATTATGTAGTTATCCGAGAAATAAATGAACAAAAAGAATGATATATTACAAGTACCCAGAAGATATACAAGGGACATGTAAAATCCATTACACTTTTATAATGATAATGAATTTAGAAAAAGGTATAGATTTCGAAAACAAACAGTTATTGAAATAATGTTGCCAGTAATATATAATGAAATGGTGAAAATTATTCGACGTGGATTACCGTTTCCACCCATTTTATGTCTATTAGTTGCCTTGAGATTTTATACTACTGGAAATTTTCAGGTAGGATAAATTAAAGAATATATTTTCAGAACATGATATATGTATATATTTTTTAATATTATATATGGTAGATCGTAGTATAGTTAATTTTAATTGAATTTTTAGATTGTAACTGGAGATCTTAGAGGATTTTCACAACCCACGGTTTCGAGATGCATTTTTAAAATTTCCCGCCTACCTGCTCAGCTATTACCCACATATATAAAATTTCCTGAAGGTCTCGAAAACCAGAGAAAGAACCAAAGGCTGTTTTACGATATTGCCAATTTTCCCGAAGTAACAGGGTGTATAGACTGTACCCGCATACCAATAAAAAGTCCTCGAGGGAATATGGCCGAGGTATATAGAAACAGGAAAAGATATTTTTCAATAAACGTCCAAGTAGTGGGTGGACCCAATTTAGGAAATTTTCGATGTTGTAGCTCGTTGGTCTTGAAGAGAACATGATTCGATGATCTTCAATAATAGTTCAGTGAAACACCGTTTCGAGAATGGCAGTTTAACAGGATTTCTTCTTGGAGATAGTGGCTATGCTTGTTTACCGTATTTAATGACGCCTCTTTTAAATCCTGGAATTGAACAAGAAGTAAGGTATAACAGATCTCATATTAGAACGAGAAATACCATTGAGAGATTGTTTGGATTGTGGAAATAAAGATTTTGTTGTTTGAGTCGGGGTTTAAACAATAAATTGGAAAGAGTTCCAGAAATAATTGTGGCATGTGCAGTTCTTCAGAATATTGGGATCAAAGTGAATGATGTAAATGATGAACAAGATAATGTGGAAGAAGAACTGGATGATAATGAACCTCACATACCGAATCAAGCTCAAAATATTGGACATATTGTACGAAGAAGACTTATTGAACAACATTTTAATTGATTTCAATTTTATGTTACACCGTTTGGCGCTCTTTCACTTAGCCGTGTTGAAGTAATAAATAAATATCTACAATTCTCCCTTTCTTAAATTTAAAATTTTCCTGCTCAATACTACTCAAAATTCCTTAAAAACCTATTACTTTCCCATATCAATAAATAAAAAACAAATCAAGAAAAATAAATGTATGTACGATTAACATATGAATGTGTATAAAATAAGAGTAATAATAAACTGTAAATGTAATTACAAGTAATAATAACTTACACATATAAATATGAGTAAAATAATAATAGCCTTACCAAAATTAAACTAATAAAAAAATGAAAAAACACACATAATTAATCGACTGTTTTGGAAGATAATTTTTTTTCTAATTCTATTTTTTCCAAATTGGCTTTTTCAACCGGCATCCTAGCTTCATCAGCTAACAATTAAAAGGTCTTTAGAAAATAAAATTTTTATTTAAACTAATATACTGATTGCAATATATCTGTTGGTTGAATGGTATTTACGAAAACAATATCCTATGCATAGTCCAGGTTTTTTGTCACAATCAGCACACTCGTAAATTGTGTTTTTTCAAATTTTATCCATACAACATGTTCTACATCGTTTTTTGTCACGTACTGGTTATAATTCAATATTATTAATGGTCTGACAACATTCCATCCTCTCTTGGTTTTATGTTCAGTCAAAGTATTGGCAAAAAAAAAGAAGATACTTTTTCCCTCCTCGTAGATTCGCCACTGACTATCCAACGCTTAGCTACTCTTCATACAATCTGTATTATCTTATAAAAAAAACCAAGCATTTGCAAGAAAATTGCAATTTCATTAAAAAAAAATGAGTTATTTATCTCGTACTTTTTTCAAGCAAGGCGCAGTATTTAATTACTTAATATTATTATTACTATTAAAAAACAATATTAAAAGCTTTAATAATATTACCAATATTAAAAACTTTAATATATTATACATTATAATATTTATATGAATGAGTAGAAACGATTACATTTAAATTTGGCAAATTGTAACTCCAGTCGACTAGTTCACAAGTACGATTGCGAGAAGCCGTAGATTTTATGACAATACGTCTACGTTTTCATATCGAGTAGTAAGTAACCGATCGCTCACTAGCGGTTCTCCGAAGATTGACTATGAAACAGGGGATGAAATCTCGATGGAGAGTTTGCTAACTGAAGAACCGCCGGCGACTCTTCCTGGCGAACAACTATGAATACCACTGTTAGCCTTCTCTATTCTACATTTTACTTCTTGTGAGTGATACCATTGTTCGTTTACTATTGTTCCAAGATAGACTATTTAACTCGGTCCACTGGTGTATTCTTGATAAGCAGTTGGACGTCTCTAATTTCATTTTTGCTGATGACCATAAATTTAGCTTTTGATATGTTTACTTGTAGTCCAAATCTTTCACTTACTTCATTTACTTTGTTTATTAGTTGCTGTAAACTGTTTAAACTGTCTTCAAAAATAACAATGTCATCTGCATAGCGAATGTTGTTGAGGCGTTCTCCATTTAAAAGGATTTCATGTTCGCAATTTTCCAATGCTTCACTAAATCTTTCCTCTAAATATAGGTGAAGGTATACATCCTTGTCTAACACCTCGCAGAACCTGGATCGCTTCCGTCGGTTCATCTCCAAGATTTGTGCTTATTGTGGCTGATTGGTTCCAGTATAAATTTTGTATTATACTCCGGTCTTTATCATCTATTTGGGCTTTTGTTAGAACATTCATCATTTTTCGGTGTTGAACTGTCATATGCTTTTTGGTAGTCCACAAAGCAGGTGTTGATATCGCAAGTCATACCTCTGCATCTTTGGAATAATACCTGAAGACTAAACAGTGTATCTCTCGTACCTACGCCTTTCATAAATCCAAACTGTGTGTATTGTAATAAATTCTGAAACTAGCCAATCTTTTGGAATATTGCCTGCATCGTAGATATTATTGAAGATTTAACACAGTATTCTCAAAGAATCATCAGCAAGAAGTTTAAGAAATTCAGAGTGTACTCAATCTGGTCCTGGAGCTCTCCCTTCTTTTAGTAATATGGGACTCTTATTTCTGCCACTAGTATAGGGGGTCCTGTTTCTGTAGGTATTGGGGACTTTTTCTCCTGTTCTTTCTGTTTGGCTTCTCTGATCTTTCTCTGTATATCTCGTTGTAATGTTTTATACATAGAGTTATTGTTTTTGCTTCTTTCTTCCAACAGCTGCAGAATCTCTGTCGTCATCCATATCTTATTCTTACCTTCTTCGTTCTTCATAAAATTATCTTTAATGTCGTCTATCGTTTTATTAAGGGATTATATCTTCTCTTCTGTGATTTTTGTTGTATTATCGATTTGTATTATTGACTGTTTCTTTTACTTCACTACATTTTAGTTTTCTCATGTCACGCTTTTTTTACAGTTTTTTTGGCGTGTTTTTTAACTTGGTTCTATACACGCCCACTAAAGGACTGTGGTCAGATTGAATATCAGCACCTGGGTAGGTTTTAACACTGTTGAAACTATTTCGATATCTTTTGTTAACATTTATATAGTCTATTTGGTTTCTTATAATAACGTCTTCTCCGTTGTCTTTAGGTGATTTCCATGTATACAGGCTTCTAGGTGGTAGTTTGTACAATGTATTTAGCACATGTCGTGTTCAACTGGAAAGATACGCATTGTTTCTTCTCGTTGATTTCTTTCTCCTAATCCATAAGTACTAATAGCCCTTCTTTTCCGTTATCTATTTTAGAATTGAAATCTCCCATGACTATAAAGAGTTTATGTCTCGGTATAATTCTTATGGTTGCTTATTTGTTTGTAAAATTCTGATATTTTCTCATCACTTTGTCCTGTTGTGGATGCATAGACTTGTATAAGCATAGCTACCAAATTTTCACTAACAATAGTTCAGGTGGGAGTGGAAAAAATGTATCTTTAGACTCATGAGACAATCCAAATCTTGAAAAGCATTCTTTTGACTATAAATTTGTAATTAGGATCTTTATTATTGCCCAAAAATGGCTTTATGACATTCTTAAATGCGAAACATCCTTTTCACTGGGGATCTGTCATAATGTTGACAAACTGTTGATCTGCTTGAAGTATTTATGTGGCTCAACAAGTATGCCTTCAAATTCGCCTCCAAGAGATCTGGAAAGTTTTTAACCAAGTATTTGATATATCATCCGTCTTTTGGGGAAATTTGGCAAACTATTTAATAAAACCTAGCTTTATATGAAGGGGAGAAAAAGAGAGGTTTTCTTGAAGAACATTGTTTTGTCGAACCGTAAACGTCCTTGGCTCCTTACAATTCACTGATCAGTGATTTTTCGCTCTCACTTTCCCACAGATATACGTAAAAACAAGAAAATTTTTTGAATCATTGCCAAGGTATTTTTTAAGAACACAGAATAATAAAAGTTTGATAGCGCAGCTCAATGGTTGTTCCACTATTTCTCCCATTACAATCAATCGAGTTTTGTGTTCTATATCCATACTGTGACAGGCCAAGAACGAGAAATATACGTGGTGACAATTGTATTCTTTTCAAAGTATTACAGAATTATAACCAAAAAGTGGTCATATACTACAAGAAGCATAGAAACCACCGTTATGGGATAAGTAATTACTTTTAAGCTGTGCCTCGATTAGACGATAGAGTCGCCATTGAATAGATTCATACTGGATTTTGAATTAAACCATCCAACCTTTAAGGTCACTAGCACAAACTAGATTTTCTTCTTGGCTAAAGTAAGGTAGAAAATTCTTTTCACACTATTTGAATTAAGAATCATTTGTAATAAATTTTTATTCTTGTATCTAAATTATTCGTAACGTAGTACTTTTTTTGTATCTGTACCGCGTATCTAGCAATTCATCAGAATTTGACAAAAAATATTTTATTATATTTCTTACATTAAAAAGGTTCTCTGATGCCATCTCTTCTTTTGAAACCACACTAGTAGACATCAATGTCATTAGACTGACGTAGGTGTCTGTCAATGTCAATTAAGTACAATAGCAAATGAAGGTGGTGTATTGATAGAAAAATTGAAAAACATAACAGAAAGTGGAATAAAAATGATACAAATATACCTAAAAATGATTTAACAATAAGTTAGTTTTGAACTGCAACCATGTATCGATTATTTGCGTTCCTATTTTTCATTAAATCAACACACACCTTATCAGAAGGATACTGTGCATCATACCATGGTAATATTTGTAAAAACTACATTTTAAGTACAAAACAGGTATGGTACAATAACAGCGGTGGATATGAGAACGAATTAATCACTACAGCTTTATGGGATGAAATAATAGTGCCACTTGAAGAACCATGTCGTTCAGCAGCAGAAAAGTTACTTTGTTTTTATGCATTTCCAGACTGTAATATCTCCAAACCCCTTCCACTGTGTTACGAAGACTGTGTAGCTGTAAAACAATTATTTTGTTACAAAGACTGGGCTCTTATAGAGGACAAAAAAGAACAAGGCATCTTTGTAAAATCCAGAGGTCATTTCCGTTTGCCTGATTGTACAGGTTTTCCTAAATTTAATAAAGATATGGTAGAATGTTCTTACGCAGGCCTAACTGAACTAAAATTAGATGAAATAACTTATGATTGTGTAAAAGGAAGGGGTAGATTTTATCAAGGAAAGGTAAATTTAACTAAAGATGGGATTCCTTGCCAAAGATGGGATTCACAGTCACCTCACACACATGATTCACCCCCACATATATTCCCGGAGTTGAAAAATGCAGAAAATTACTGCAGAAATACAGGAGCAGAAGAAAAAAGGCCTTGGTGTTTTACTACTAATCCTAATATAAGGTGGCAACATTGTGATATACCACGTTGTCCAAATTCTACTTTTGATGAATTGGACACAAGGACTATAGCTATGGACCAGATCTTATCTCCTACATTTCTTATTATAATATCTACAGTGGGACTTCTGGTCCTGGTGACTTGTTTGTTGCTCATTTTATTGTGTTATAGAATCCATAAAAGACACTTAATGGGATATAACGCCCCTGAAGCTGCTGAAGTCAATATAGACTTGGATAAACTGCCTAGCAATATGGCTTATCACAGTCATGGTGCTACCTTAAATCCAAAATTAGAGAAGCTGGAATTTCCTAGAAATGATATAATATACATTAGAGACTTGGGCCAAGGTGCTTTTGGAAGTGTTTTTCAAGCAAAGGCTCCTGGACTTATAGCTGGTGAAGAATTCACTATAGTAGCTGTTAAGATGCTAAAAGAGGATGCTTCAGATGATATGCAAGAAGATTTTGAAAAAGAGGCTTGTCTTCTAGCTGAATTTGATCATCCAAATATTGTAAAACTGCTGGGGGTGTGTGCTGTGGGTAGACCAATGTGCCTGCTTTTTGAATATATGGGAAAAGGTGATTTGAATGAATTTTTAAGACAGTGTTCCCCTAGTAACTATGTAGTAAGAAGTATTGTTGATGGTAGTTCCCCCAGTAGAGAAATTTACAAAGACAACCAAATAAGTCACTTGGATAAGGTTAATATAGCTTTACAGATTTCATCTGGCATGGTTTATTTATCTCAAAGGAAATTTGTCCATAGAGACTTAGCAACCAGGAACTGTCTAATAAGTGAAGATATGGTAGTAAAAATAGCAGATTTTGGTTTGTCACAGAAGATTTACCTTCAAGATTATTATAAAGGTAGTGATAGAGATGCCATTCCAGTGCGGTGGATGCCATTGGAGAGTATCCTTTACAACAAATACACTCCAGAATCAGATGTATGGGCTTTTGGTGTTTGTCTGTGGGAAATATTTTCCTATGCCTTACAACCATATTATGGAATGACCCACGAAGAAGTGATCAAGTTTTTGAAGGAGGGTAATGTACTAGCAAGTCCCGAGGGTTGTCCAGCACCTTTGTATGAGATCATGAAACAATGTTGGGGACAGAAACCAGTGGATAGACCCAGTTTCCAAACGATTTACCAAACTTTGATTGATATAAGGGTGAATATGCTTTCCATGCCACTACATTAAGTTAATTGTTTTTTATTATATTTTGTTTTTGTTATGTTCTTAAAAATAAGAAAAACATGCATAAAATACATGTACAGTAAGTATAAAGTACAGTAAGTTTTTATTCAAAATATTGATTTTAAATGGTTTCAATTTAGTGATGGTTTTTTAAAACTGTTATTTATAAGGATTTCATAAAAAAGGAAATGTAGCTAAACATTTGTTATGTGATTGAAAAATTCCAATGGAACTAAAATGCAAGTTTATATGAACAGCTGTGATGTTGAAAACAGTGAATGTTTGATAGTTAAAAAGGAAGATGCTGGAATATGAATGTATTACTAAATCAGATGTGGAGTCTATTCTAAGAGGAGTTTCTATAAGCTCAAAAAGAGCTGACAGGAAACATATAAGACATAAGTATGTAGGAACATACCTAACATTGGTATGTACCAAAATATAAACTTTTATTTGTACAGTTGTCATAGATTTGACAGATATCAAGCTTTAAAATACTGTTCTCCAAGTTTTATAAAACCAAAATGCATGAATGTTTACAAAGTAGTAAGTAATTTTATTTTCTCATTTATATTTTAATTTTATGATAAAGACTTCGACCATTTGCTCTAGGTTGTAAGTGGAGTTTATGGATATAATGTATTTTTTTTGTTGATATATACCATTTTTTTTTATTAATTTATGTATGTTTTTCTTTATTTTCTGTAAATTATCTGTATATAGTGATCAAATTCCCTTCTGCTCTTAATCAAATTTTTAAGTGATGCTTTTAATGTGTTATCAAAATTTAATTTATTATTCAAAATGATAAACATGATAGGAAAGAATCTCCAGTGTTTCCAAGGTATATAAATCATTTTAATTTAGGACTAGCAGTCAAAAATATGGAGTTACTAACATCTTGATGTCACACGAAGTTTATGGATATTAACATAATATTAAGGTGTACTTGAATTCAATATTTTTACAGATTACTCTATTTTGTATCCTCCAATGAATATAATGACTGCTATAAAATATTAGCAAACCTAGATCTTAAATCGTTTTTGCATTTATGTCTTAATTTTCATAATGCTGGGACAAGTGTGATTTAAATCATCTCTGATTAATTTATACCATTAATATTTCCCAATAAGGGATGATTTATACACAGTATGCAAGGAAAAACAAAATTTAAATGTGAAATCATGATTAGTTTGACTGATCACTCATGATCAGTTTTTACTGCAACCTTTTTGAGAAAAATATATATTATATAAAGGTTATGGTCCACTGTAAACTACAACAGTCATCTGCCTAGTTTGTTCCTTGTATTTATTCTGTCGCAACTAATCGAATCTTTGAATAGCCTCTACTCAGTTTGATATTGGTTTAAGTTAAGACATTGCATCATTAACTTCTATACAAATACCAAGATCATCTTTTGCTTAATAAATGCAGTAGATCCTACTTCCCATGTTTGTAATTTGACAACCTGATATCACATTGGAGAAGATTTTATTAAGGTAAATGTACTAGTAGTTGACATTATAAGAAGAAAAAAAAAACATTATTTAGCCTCAAACCCATGTAGATGAAATTAAATGAAAAATATATGTATATTGAGGTAATCTAATCCTTCCTGAATATTTAACAAATAAATTTTTGGACAATTCTGTGTTCTAAATATATTTTATAAAATTTACAAAAATTGTTGCAAAAGTGTCAGTAGTTGACACAACAAAATGAAAAAAAATTAGTAGTTGACACATCCAAGGTTTAGTAATTGACTCCCAAATATATTTTGATACTTTTATTAAGAATATGTAATTACAGGAGAACTTTAATGTTAGCTGTTTCCACATCCACTGAATCTGGAAACTGATACTTTATTCTTTCTCATGAAATGAGTATCTGAGGTTGGGGCATCCTTTTGCGGGTTTTTGAGGATTTGATGAGGATTTGAAAATGTTATTACGCTCACATCTTTATCATTAATTCGAAAAGAAGTTTTACTGTCATTTTACTGCTACCAGATTCAACCTATAATTCATTATTATCACTTGATGATTCTTCCTTTTTCTTACTTACTTTTTTTTCGTCGCTGTCAGTTTCTGTTTTTTAACAAAGTTTTTTTTCTCTCTTTTCTTTTGTCTCTCTTCTGCTCTTTTCTGTTTTTCTTCAAGAAGCTTGATCTTCTTATTTTCTTTATTTTCATGATAAGTTTGCCATTCTTTTAAACTAGCCACAGAAGGAACTTTTTCCACTCTTCTTTTTTTTACTGCGGATACTCTGGGTTCAGGCCAAAACAGTATTCATTTTAAAGGCCATTATAAAAGGAGAGGGTATAATTTCATTTGATGTAGAAGGTGTAGGTAATTCTTCAATTGCTGAAGATGGAACTTGTGATTGTGTTAATGAAGAAGCACAAGTGTCTTGAATAATAGCAATATTGTTATGTTGAAGATTTTTCCTAGTGGGACTAGTGTGACTTTCCAAAACATCCGAAATGTTTCTACCTGGTTCAGCCTCAGATTGGTTTAATAACTCATCTATTTCATACTGTTCTTCGACTGGCTTATCAGGTTTGTTCTCTACGTAAATGTCTTCAACATTAGGGCTGTCTTCAACATTTGGTATGTCCTCAATATAAGTGGCATCTTCAATAATATTGTCTTCATCATCTGGTTCTTTCGCACCTTGTTTCGCTTTCAAATTGTTTATTTCTTCTTCTAAAAGACTGTATTTTATGCAAATGTTTTTGTAAAAGTAAAAGAGAAATAAATCTTCATTGTCATTGTTCCATTCTAGGCTTGTTTTGAAAAGAGCTAGTTTTTGTTTATCAATATGTTTCTCTATAAAGTTTTTCCCTTGTTTCATTTCCTGCAATTCCTGCATTTTCTTTGAAATGTCTATTTTCTCATTGTGAAACATAATCGCACCAAAATCCTAGGGAACTAAGCCACATTTTCGGAAACCATTTTTTAAAATTGATGGTACTTAACCTTTCCTCTAGAACTTTTTTCAAAAGAGGACAGAAGTGAATTTTCCTTAAAACTGGAGAAGCCTGATTCTCAATCCGCCACTGGTGTACTGCATCTTTCCAACCCCCTTTCAAAGAACGAAATACAGCAACATCTATTGGCTGAAGCAAATGTGTTGCATTTGGATGAAGGGCTACCAATATAATACAATGTTCACTGCAAAATCTACTAGTGTGTAATGTTAAATGTTGCTGAAACTGGCTTTCTACATAGAACTTCCAAAATAGCTTTCTCCATAGCTTATTCTGTATATTGGAACATTTGTCCTTTTGTAGGAGGCATATTTTTAACTGAAATTTAAAATTTTTGTTTTAGTAGTTGACATCCAAAGTGTTTCAATAGTTGACATAGTGTCAACTACTAGATAGAGTGGATACATTTACATGATATTTAAAATATAAGTGTACACATTATATACAATGAAAATAACAATAAAATATTAAGTTTTTACAGTCTCAGTATAAATGGTTAGTAGTTGACACCTATGTCAACTACTAGTATTTTTGTGTATTTGTGAGTTAGTAATTGACACCTAGCCTAATTTTTGTTTTGAGAATAAAACAAACTTAAAACATTAGCAAGATGTTACCTTAATAATATAATATATTGATATATCTAAAACTACAGTCATTCACAATTTAATCAATAAATATTAATTTTTTTAAACTTACCTTCTTAATACTTTTGTTTAGAAAACTTGTTGCCACTTGAAGCTCACACAACACTTTGACAAAAATTTGGTGGGAATTTTCTGTTTCAAAGTTAAATAATTCTACAGTTACAGAGAAGATGTATAAATGACACTAGTTAACTATGATGGTAATAATTACATTAAAAATAATTGGAAAAGCTTATTATTTATGCTTAAAATGGAAAATGTCAACTACTGGTGCAGTGTCAAGTACTAGTGCATTTACCTTACTGTAATCTGGACCTTAAAACCTCTGTCTTCTCATGTGACAAGTCAAAATCTTGAATGCAGTGACTCAGTCCTGCTCGACTTAATATATGTGGTTTATCATCGTTTTCCTTAAACTCATCTGGAAGATTTGTTTAGTTCTTGTCCTTCTGCAACATCGATGGTTTAAAACACAGATATAGTATGTCCAAATATCTTAATTGTTGAGAAAAACGTTTTGAAGTTTTCGCTTTATTTTTTGATTGGTACTGGTAATATATTGAAATGATTTCAATATGTCAAAGAGGATATAACTTAAAGGGATTTTTATATGAGTTTGTTGTTCATGAATTTCATGAAGCCATCACAATGTGGGGTCGACTCTGAAATAAAAGGGAGAAAAGATTAGTAAATTGCTAAATAAATTAATTTTGACTTACCTGGTATAGTGTTAATAATTTCTGAATAGTATAGTTGCCTAGTGTATAGGTGAATCGTCTAAACCTTAAAAGGAATAAAAAAGAAGAATTCTTAAAAAATTATTTAAACATAGAAATTTCAAAAATAAACGTCAGAAAAATAAACTGTCAAAAGTCTGTGGGAACTAAATTAATAGGGGTTTTGTTAAATAAATTACAATGATGTGGAGATGAAAAGAATAAATTATATTAGTATTGTTAAGTTTTATATCTGAATTTTTTTTTATAAATTCCCAAATTAGATGTGATTAAAGTGCTTATGAGAAATTAATGTGGTTTGACAAATATGTCAAAACAGGACAGTTTTATGGTTGAATAAAATAGAAGACGGAATGAAAAAAGAAAGGGGGTTGCTGTTAGCAACGAATAATTTTGGTGGTTGGTGCTAGCTATGGCGGTGAACAAGGAAGAATAGGTTGTTGGAGGCGACGAAAATTTTGGAGGAAGAGCCCTAAAAAGGTGGAATAGTCCGGGAGTGCTTTAAAATCGTTTAATTATAATTTAGTTTTTCCACATTTTCAAATAGAGATATCCAGAATTTGTTCCAGAGAGTAAGAGAAATTTTGACTTATAAATTATAATTGGAGTGCAGAAATGTCATTTAGATTGAAAAAGTAAAAATTCATGAATTAACTAATTGCGATAGGCCTTAAAAATTGAAATATTAATGATCATTAAAATAAAAATATAATAGTACGTACCTTTAACTTCCGAAGAGAGGATAGATATTCCAGTATCACTGATTATTTTGCGAGTAGTTAGTTTTCTTTTAAAAAAAAATCAGAACTGTTTGAAAGTGAGTTTGGATAATAATTTTGGGGATCATTTGAAATTTTGATTATATTTTAATGCTAGTTATAAGTCAGCGGCATAAAGTGTTCAGTTTTCTTTTCTTTATATTTCATTTAAACACTTTATAAAGTTGCAATAGTCATTTAGATTTAAGGTAATTGTAGAGAGTTTCCACATTTTGTAATCAAATTCTATTTTCACGACACATTAAGGTTTACACGATTCCTATTTTTGTAAATTTTTAAAGGCAACCCAAGTTGCAGACGAATTTTATTGTTTATATTAAATTTGTTCAATATTAATAAATAACGTGCTTCATTTGGGTTAATTTATCAAAAATATAAAGTAAATTTTGGTTTAATTTCTTTTTGAACTCTACCAGGAGACTACAGAGTTGACGTCACACAGTGACAGATTGCTTAGAACAAATAATTGAGCTAGCCGAGGTATAGTATATTAACAACGAACTACATACTTTTAAAATTCACTTCAATTCAATTAAAATTATATTTATTAACAATAAAACATAAAAATAATAAAAACAAAACTATTACAATATTGATATATTATAATTTTTGTGTAATAATTTCGGTTATCATTATTAGCTTAATGTAGATAATTTTCAAAATATTATATGTTATTAGGTTAAAAAATCTATTTTTTGAAAATTTGTATGGACATACAACATAATGGTTCTTACTGTTTGGACATACAACATGTAACCTAGATTTAAAATAATGAATTTGTTAAAGTTCTCTTTTATTTTATGCTTTATTTGTTAAAAAATAGTAGGTAGAACACAAAAGTAATATATTTTATTCGTAATCATCTTCTTCATCTTCAGGGGTCCGCCAAGGTACAAGATCTTTTGTTTTTTTTGATGTAGGAAGACTTTCCACATACGTTTTATAAACTGCTGGTATAATCTCCTTATTTAGTAAATACAACAAGTCTTTCTTTTTTTGCTCAGATATGAAAAGTCTTTTTTGATATTTGGATTTTAGCTTGACATCTGTCCATGTAACTTGTGTAACTTGTTTAGTATGTCTTTTGTTTTGTATGACATCAAACTCTAAAAAATGTTCATCAGTCAATGAATATTTATATTGAATAACAAATGGCCTTGTTTTTTGAAACCGGAACCACTTAACCTGAAGCCATTTTATTGGATCACCTAACGCATTAGTTTTCCTATTTTGCATTATAAGTGATGCAAGATTCTGCAGGTCATAAAAATCTGAATGGTTGAGTTTATGTACGTCATAGGGTTTTGGTTTGTGTCTTGCCATGCTAATCAAAAGTGCCCATTCTTCGGTGGTGAATATCTTTTTGTGCTTAC